CAAAAATTTGTCTTTCATGTCTCCTAATTGCACTTCCCTCCTTTCAATAGAGGAGTTATTACGTATAGTTCTTAAGAATTGTGCTTTAGGTAATGACGCCTTTAACTGTTGCGGGTGTGCACTTCGAGCGTGAAGGAGTGTGTTCTGATCAGTTGGTTTAGTGTACAAAGAATATTGGAGACTATTGTTTTCAATCCAAATCTGTAGATCCAGAAAATGTACTTTATTAGTGCTTATTTCTGACGTAAATTTAATCGGACTTTCTAGTTCATTCAGGTTATCAACCATCTGTTGCGCTTCTTGTACTGTACCGGTCCAAATTATTAATAAGTCATCGATAAATCTGAAGAAATTCATGATTTTATCTCCATAAAGTGGAAGTATATATGTTGTTTCAAAAATGTACATGTATACATTGGCGTACATGGGGGCCATTGCCGCCCCCATGGATGTTCCAGCTATCTGTAAAAACCAGTCTTCCTCGAATCTGAAATAGTTGTTAGATAGTGCTAGTTCCAACATTTGAAGGATATTATCACGACAGTGACCAAAGTCACAAGAGTGACCCCTTCACACAGCGTGAAAACCCACAGAAAGACGGTTACCGGACCTTAGAATGGCCGGACTAGCGTTTGAGAATAGTCAAAGAAATAGCCAGAGGTCAAGGGAATACGGAAGACGGGCACACGATTATCCAAGCCAAGATACGGGAAACCAGAACACAGAATAGTCAGAGAGATAGCCAAGGGTCAAATACCAGGAAGGACAAATAGAAAGGATAGCACCAGGGGACTTAAACAAGAACCACACTAGGGCATCTGGCAAGTGTCATGATAGCCCTTTTATAGTGTGGGTTCTTTGGCTTTAATTTTGTAGCCACGCCCCCAAAAAGTCCGGGAGCGTGGCCACGTTTGAATTTTGGCGCCCTTTTTACTCTGACGTCGGCGCGCATGCGCCGCGTCATAAATGTGGGCGTGTTCCGAGCGGCCGGCGTCAGAATAACTGAGCCGCCCCCCGGACGGATCGGAGGAGGACACGGCGCTGCGCGGGACCGGCGGGGAAAGGTAAGCGCTTGTTACAGTACCCCCCCTCGAGAACCGCCCACAGGGCGGGTGGAACCGAACCCACAAGAGCGCCGCCTCTCAAACAGACGAATCAGACGAGGGGCGTGAACATCAGATGCATCGACCCATGATCGCTCTTCGGGACCGTACCCTTTCCAATCAAGGAGATACTGCAATTTACCCCGAGAAATCCGGGAATCTAATATAGATTTAACTTCGTATTCGACATGATCCTCCAAGGGTGAAGCAGGAGGAGTGGAGACATTCTGCGTATAACGATTACAAATGAACGGTTTGAGAAGGGAAACATGAAAAGCATTAGGAATTTTCATAGTATTAGGCAATCTCAAACTATAACAGACCGGATTGATGCGTTTGAGTATCTGAAACGGGCCTATGAAACGGGGAGCAAACTTCATCGAGGGTACTTTTAACTTTATGTTGCGGGTACTTAACCAAACCCTGTCTCCTGCCACGAACGTAGGAGCAGCCCTACGTCGTCTATCCGCATTCCTTTTTTGAATCTGAGTCTTTTGATTTAAGATATGCTTAACCCCTAACCAAGTTTCTTTCATATTGTGAAGAGTGCTGTCAACACTAGGCACTCCCGTAGATGAAAAAGAACTCGGCAAAGTTGTAGGATTAAACCCATAATTAATAAAAAAAAGGACTATGTTGAGTGGATTCGTGCATTAGATTATTATGGGCGAATTCAGCCCATGGAAGTAGTTCCACCCAATCGTCTTGGTGCTCAGAAATGAAACAGCGGATGTATTGTTCCAGGCATTGATTCATCCTTTCCGTAACTCCATTAGATTGGGGATGGTAAGAAGAAGAAAGGTTAAGGACAATACCTAATTGGTCACAAAATGCCCTCCAGAACCGTGAAATGAACTGTGGACCCCTGTCAGATGTAATATCTTGAGGTATGCCATGTAAACGCACTACCTCTTTTATAAATAAAGAGGCCAGTTCAGAAGAGGAGGGTAATTTGATTAGCGGGCAGTTGGTTTAGTGTACAAAGAATATTGTAGACTATTGTTTTCAATCCAAATCTGTAGATCCAGAAAATGTACTTTATTAGTGCTTATTTCTGACGTAAATTTAATCGGACTTTCTAGTTCATTCAGGTTATCAACCATCTGTTGCGCTTCTTGTACTGTACCGGTCCAAATTATTAATAAGTCATCGATAAATCTGAAGAAATTCATGATTTTATCTCCATAAATTGGAAGTATATATGTTGTTTCAAAAATGTACATGTATACATTGGCGTACATGGGGGCCATTGCCGCCCCCATGGATGTTCCAGCTATCTGTAAAAACCAGTCTTCCTCGAATCTGAAATAGTTGTTAGATAGTGCTAGTTCCAACATTTGAAGGATATTATCACGACAGTGACCAAAGTCACAAGAGTGACCACTTCACACAGCGTGAAAACCCACAGAAAGACGGTTACCGGACCTTAGAATGGCCGGACTAGCGTCTGAGAATAGTCAAAGAAATAGCCAGAGGTCAAGGGAATACGGAAGACGGGCACACGATTATCCAAGCCAAGATACGGGAAACCAGAACACAGAATAGTCAGAGAGATAGCCAAGGGTCAAATACCAGGAAGGACAAATAGAAATGATAGCACCAGGGGACTTAAACAAGAACCACACTAGGGCATCTGACAGGTGTCATGATAGCCCTTTTATAGTGTGGGTTCTTTGGCTTTAAT